GCTGACCCATCGTAGCTTGGTGCCCATGCACAGCATCTTTTGCTTGGTCACCATGACCTCAATCTTTGTTCTTTTGTCTCCTTGGAGACTTGGTGTTTCAGCCTTGAGGCTGTCATAGAGGGCTTTTGCGTCCGCCACCAAGGCCGAAGGCAGTGAAAGCTTCAGCTCATTGACCTGGCGCAGCTGGAAGTCGAAGTTGAGGCAACCTTCCCAGAAGATGAGGAGGTACTCTAGGGCGTCCATTGCAGCTGAGCATGCCTGGCTCTCAGCATTCAAGGATGATCTTCTGACCCTTGAGAGATTGAAACTCCTCCAATCCAGGATGACATAGTCGTGGTCGAGGGCGTTGTCCTCCAGCACTGACTTGTGACATAGAAGCACCAGGAGCCACCTTGGCTCATGGCCACCATACATAGGCGCCACCCAAGGAGCGAAGCACCAGACCGGCATCGCTATTGTTCTTGGCGAAGTGCAAGGTCTTGTTCGCCTGCTGGGCTACATTGACCGTGGGGGTGGTGACTTCTCCGCGCAAGAGCGACACTGAAGCGCATTGGTGGGGCGACGTTTGTGTTGCTGGCCATTGAAGTGCACCAAGTAGTGCCCTTAGCAAACTTTGTTCTTTGGAGCTCAACTCTCTGTCAGCATCATCGTCCGCACAGGTCATTGGCTTGGCGGCTTGACATTCTTGAGGTAGTCGGCCTGTGTCATCACGGACTCAGTGGCTGCGCGGGTGAGTTGACATCCGCAGTGGGCGTTCGCCCTCAACTGTCCAATGCTTGAAGTTGAAGGAGGCCTTGAGCTTCTCGGTCAGCTTGTGGTAGGTGGATGAAGTAGCCATGCCACAACCAAAGAGATCATCAACGTGGATTCCAACCATTGCTGTGAGGACCCTGTTCTCATCGAAGAACATATAGAGACATTGGTCCAATGGATGGGCTTGGAAACCAAGTTGCAGCAAGCGGCGTCGGGCGACAGCAAACCATTGTCTTGGAGCGTCTGCTTGTCCGTACAGGGGGCTTGATCAACCTCACAAGGGTGCCAGGTGGCACTCCAATGAGTTCACAAGCGTTTTTGGGACGCGCGCCCACAAGACTCGTTCTTGAGGATCACCTTGGAGAAATGCGGTAGCAACATCCGATCTGAGAATTTCTGGAGCACTAGTCGCGCCTTGGCCTTGAGGCCGCCCTTTCTGTGATCCACTGACTGTGGATCGAGCTCGATCTCCCAGACACCATTCTCGAAGATGCTCATGAGCTCAGCCTTCTTTCCTTCAAGGAAGGCAAGGCGATCTTCCAAGGTCAGCGCTTTCCTTGACGTGCTTCTTCTTGGGACTGCCAGCCCCAACGGCCTGCCAGATGTGTCCATGGCCACGGAGAGTCTTGCAGCTTGAGAGCTTGTCCGTGAGGTCCCCGATGTAAAGAAGTCCAGTCTTCTCCGCACCTTCGGAGGTCAATACAGAGTTTTGCCGGCCCAATGCTCATGGAAGTGCTGCTGCTCCTTGGCGTTGACATGGATGGTTCTTGAACCTTGTTGCAATGTCAGACCGGTGGTTGTTTGTAGAAAGGAGGCGTCAATGGGGAACTCTTCAGGCTTGTAGGTGGTGTTTTTTCCCCAAACATGGTTGCGTACAAGGAAACCGTCCTCATAGCTCCACCAGTCTTGCGTTTCCCTGAGGATGAACTCGTTGTTCTTCTCATCATAGGTCCAGCCAGCAGGGAGTGGCGTTGACCTGGTCAGGTCAAAGCCATGAAGGTTAGTTAGAAGAGCGACGACCTCATGAACGACACCCTGAACTACCAGAATTGGATGACGATGAATTTGAAGAGCCCATGGGAGAACCGGCGCGGCGCACATGGAGACACCACGTGTGGATGTCGAACCTCCGACAAGCCTTCCGGACCCGGCTGATCTACCAGTTTCAGAGGACCACGATCTGGACTCTCCCAAGGCTGATCCTTCCTCACGGCCCATGGCTATCTTCAATGCCCGCACCCATGGCAGTTGATCCTCTTTATGCACCACCGTCAGCAGAAAGTTTCCAAGATCGTCGGCGACGATTCGACCAACAGGAGACCATATGGACTCGCAAGAAAGCCAGGACTGATGAGGGAGACATTGATGTCAGCTGTTCCAATGGCTCTGTTGCAGGATCTTCTGGAGGATCTGGAGCAGGTGGAACCGATGAGCGTTCAGCTGCTCGTGACTGAATAGCTTCTTGCATGGGGCGGTCAAAGGCTCGTTGAACACCATCAGGTAGTCCAGAAGAACACATAGTCACTGGGGCAGGTGGTTCCTCAGCTATGGAAGGAGCGTAGTCTGATATCTCAGGGTCGACTTCGTCGATGGAGCGCTTGTTGGCTTTGCGCAAATCGATGATTCGCACGGTTCTCCTTTGTCTCAAGCCATCTAGGGTTTGTTGAGCACGTTGAGCTGCACCAAGTTGACCACTGTCACTCACCATCTTGGGAGCATGCTGAACTCCAGCACGAAGAAGAACTGTTCCGTGCGCAATCCAGTACACAGAGATGGTGCCAGTGTCGGGGCTGCGCTCAACTGCAGCAACAACAACAACAACAACAACTGCTGGTCCGCGCCAGCGGATGGTGTGAGCCTTGTCCGGAAAGTCCCGCCAGTAGTAGCACCGCTCACCTGGAAGAAAATCTTCATCTTTGCCGGTGAGCAAGGCAAGGGCACTTCATCCAAGGGCTTCTCAAAAGGCCCAATTGGAAAGAATCGAGCCAAAGCTGCACTGACCTGTCTTCGCTGCGGAAAGCACGGGCACTTCGCAGCAAATTGCCCTTCAGCTGGCCAATCCTCAGAAACGGCTGATCGATCTCGAGGATCCCATGATCAACATGGTCATGTCCATTGAGCCTGCTGAGTACCCCTATGGACAACCTGATCTTCAAGCGCTGCGACACGTCCTTCAGATTTAGCGGCGACGCCTCAGGACATGCAAGATGGATGGTTGAACTTCCGGTTCGCATCGCTGACCACCCTGGTCGCATTCAGGCCTACATCATCTATGGGGCCACGCCCATGCTCTTCAGCCGACCACTTCTGGAAGCACGTCAAGCAGAAGTCAACTTCGGTGAATCCAAGATGAGATTGCTACACCAAGATTGGCAAGACACCCCTCGCGGCCGACAAGGTGCAATGCTCCTTCGCCTGGTGGCCAAAGTGAACGACCCACAGGCCTTCGAGTCACCTGTCTTCGACTTCCGGGAGGACGATCAGACAGAGCAGACCAACCTGAACAAGTTCCTGGACGACTTGAACGCCCATGAAAGCTACTTTGAGACGACCACTGAGGTCAAGACCTTCTTCGCCACCGAAGATCAACTCCAGGAAGCTGAGAAACATGTCCAGCAGGAGATCCTCCATGCTCGTGACCAAGGTCAACATTGCAGGAGAAAACTGATCTGGGAGGTCTACGCTGGCGAGGGCAAGATCACCAGTCTCCTGCAGGCTCACGGTGATGTTGAGTGATGAGATTTGGCCTCAAACACGGCTGGGGCTTCAGCCGAGCCAACCACAGAAAATGTCACCCAAGTGCACGTTTTGGTCGTCAGCTTCAACTGACAGAGCAAAAGAAGCGTCGCAAGTGACTCCAGATGAAGTTCGCTGCCCAGAGTGCATGCGGCAAGGCCGAGATCGATGTCAAGTTGAGAAGGGCCTTGGACTTGTTCTTGGATTTGCCACCTTTGGCTGGTGCTTTTGGACTTTGAGCCATGACAGGAGCTTGGCCTTTGCCGTCCACAACGGCCACAACTGGACAAAATCCTCGGGTCTGTCTCAACTGGTTGAGCCGCTGTTTGGCGTCCACGTAGGTGGAGTAAATCTCATCGAAGTCCTCAGTGTCGAGGACGCGCTCAGGATCTTCAGCGCTCTCATCGTAGTAGGTTCCCTCTGGAATCTCGGGTTCAAACCATTCTTCGGCCTCCTGGCAGTCGAGGTCATCGTCCGCGTCCTGGAAAGAGAGGAAAACATCGTTACACTGCGGAACCTTTTACGGTGCTCTATGGGGCACAGGTGCGCACTCATACCGACAGCAAGACTGGGAAATGTGCTCAAGAATGTTCAAGACA